CACACAAAAGGAAATTTTCATGCAAACTTTGTATTTGTACCTTTTTCATAATTGTGTAATAAATTAATAAATGTTTTTTCTTTTAAAATTTTATGTAGTGGTTATGTCTTGTTTTTGATTTGCTCCTATTATGACTAGCTATTCCTACTAACTAGGTTTTTGCGTTTGGATCTTTAGATTTAGTAGAGAATAAAATTTTTATATCCAGAAATAGATTTGAAGTTCACAGGCAAGATGTGCATTCATTAAATATGTAGATTGAACTTTGCTTTATCCAGAGGGTCTCCTGTTGTCAAATTGGTAACAGCAAGCCTTATCGATATGCATACTTTTCTTTATTAGGACTTCTCGATCTAGGCCAGTTGTTATTAATTTCACTGTTTAAAAAAATTAAAAACAAAGATCGCAACTCAAACATGTCTACTTATTAAAAATAACATTTCTAGTAATAAGAAATAATGAGACGTTATTATGATTCACTCATTTGTCATTTCTTGTCTTTTGTCTTTAATCCGTAACCTTGTCACATAGATTATTTGTGTATTAATTTTGTCTTCATTTGCTTTTGGCTTACAGCCATATCATTTTGAAACACTGTTTCCTCCCCATACAATCACTAAAGTTAAGCAGCATCGAACCTGATTAGTGCCCAGATGGGTGACCATTTGGAAATACTAGGTGCTGTAAGTTTGGATGTGTGGGTTGTGTAATGGATAATGGAATGGAAATTGTTAACTGGATAGCCAATTTCCAATTCCTATTCGGTTTGTTATATTTTCTTACACGCAAATACTCTTGGGAACAGTATGAATCCATGTCTTCCCCCTAACTATGGGTTAATTAGTAAGACTTGTATCTAAACCATTATTTCTAAAAAACAAAATTATTACTATTTAAAAATATTCCCTGGTTTAAAATAATCTGATAAGCTGTAGAAAATGAATGAATCAATCAATCACTTGCTTTCAATATACCCTGCGAGTGTTGGAATCTCTAAGCCTTCTTACCTCATTATGTACCTAAAACAGAAAAAAACTTTAGCTCTGTTTCTGATTGTCAGCCATAGTTTCTTTATTGTTCCAAATCTCCATAGAGCTTATATCCGGTTGCATTGGTATAAATAAAATCAAAATTTTTATATCCTAGTTATTCCACTAAGACGTTTACAAGATGCAGATGGTACAGATCATATAAAGGAAAATTTTTGACTGAATTTTAATGGTAACTGTACTGTTTTGCTCATTCGTAATAATTGCTTGATTTTTATTTTGTTTTCTTACCTTTGGATATCATAAAGTTTTTATAGACTTGTGTTCTTTTTTTCGTATTATTTTTCATTTAATGTAAACATAGCTTGTTTAACCAAAATAATACCTCATAAATATAGCCTAGGTTGTACCATTTACTAAATGATTTGCCCTGCTGAAATTGGGGTGCATCTTATACACCTGTGTGTCTTATATGCCATCATATAGGGTAATTTAAAAATGCAAATTTATTAAGAGATATATAAATTTATTACAGCAAAAGTGCACTGATTTCTGAGTCTTCCATGGTATATTTACGTCTAAGTTCATACAAAGTATCTCTTTTCCTAACAAAAACTAATGCTATTATCATGTAGGATGTTTAAAAACAAGAGCGATTTAAAACAAAAAAAAAAACAAAAGTAGTTGAAATCTGAATGATGTTGTCTAGGTTATGCATTTAGATAGATCCAATGTCAAAAATTAAATTCTTGGCATCTGATATATTAAGCATCCTTGTATTGTCAGTGGTTTCTCAGTGTAAAATTGCAACTAATGTTTGAATTTTGTTCCCTCCCACTACATATATCTGATTCCATTGTTAAGAAAAAAGTATTTCATTTGAAAAAGTCTTTAAAGAATAAAACATGTAACATATGACTTTTTTTTTCATTTTGTCATTCAATTAGCCACTACAAAGCAAATGTGACAAACAAAGCTGGAACTTGAACTCAGTTAACCATTTTCACTTTTTCATACCAGTGACCATTAAGCCACCCCCACATAAATACACACAGAAACTTGTGCACACACAGAAAGAAGCAGGGAGTTATAGGGATATTTTTAATGACCCGATTACATTATTTTCTAATCATGTGCTATTTCAATGAAATCAAACTGACTTTTTTTTTCCTCAGTATTATGGTACCTGAACAGGCTGAATGTCTATTTTATGTGCTATCTCCCTTCAGATATGAGCAATTATGGTCCTCTACAGCATCCTATCTTTTTTTTCTTTTCTTTTTACTGTCTCTTCCATTTCCTGTTTAGCCTTCCATTTATACAAGCTCATTAGGTAAGTTATTTGTTTAAATGTTTTTTAATCAATTCACACCAAGAAAGCAACAATGCCACTAAGATGCAAGGCCTACTGGGAGTAAAAGAATGAAGACTTTAGAAGGAACTGGAAACCTAATCCAAAACAAGGAACAAATCTCTACTCTTGTCCAAAAGACTGTGAAGGAGTGTGAACT